CCCCCATTCACATTTCATTTTTTTAAGGACTGTGAACAATGATATCCTGATGACAGCATCGTTTGTAGCGGACATCATGACCCACCACAAACACCCCCGATAATAGCAGCACATGGTCCACAGGCCTCCGTTTAGAAAACAGAGTTTAAAGGGAACACGGGAACTGCTTTCCGTGCACAGAGACCATGCCAGCTCCTAATCTGGCCGATACTTAGATTTTCAAGACGGAGCTGTGCGGCTTCTTCCTGCCCGGACTGCCCGTTCGTTTTGCCCCAGCAAACCAGGAAAGGTCTTTGGAGGGTGACGGGCACTCACTTGGGTCACGGTATCGGGAAACACCTAGAAAGCTGGTCTTCCTGAAACAAAAAACTTGGCCTTTTTAAAAAAGGTCATTTTATTGAGGGCTCATACAGCTCTTATCACAATCCATCCAGTGTGTCGAGCACAGTTGTACATCTGTTGCCATGATCATTCTCAAAACATTGGCTTTCTACTCGAGACCTTGGCATCAGCCCCTCTTTTTTCCCCTCCCTCCCCGCTCCCCCTCCCTCATGAGCCCTTGATCGTTTATACACGATTATTGTTTTGTCACGAAACGTGCCTTCTGTGGAGGAGCTGCATTTAAATCAGGCCTCCGGCAAGTGACAGTGACCAGAGGGCACGATTTCAGAGACCGGACTGTGCTTTCTGACGTCCCTTCTCCTCCTGCAACGAGACCTGTCTCTGATCCTCAGGATCTGGCGTCACCTCTCCTGAGGGATCCGCTGCTGGAACCCTGGAGCAGGGACGTGGGGCCGGGTCGGTCTGTCCCTGAGCACACTTTCCCTCCTGTCCTTCTTTCCCTCGATTCCCGTCGTGAACCTCAACGTGTGTCCCGTCTCAAAACTCCGACCGTGAAGAGGAGATGTCCGATGTGCCGGTGACACTGCTGCTCACCAAGAAGGGCCCCCGGTCCTCCTCGCCGGCAGGGGCCTCGGAGTGGCGCTTCCGGGAGGAGCAGCACAGGCTCCAGAAGAGGCTGCTGAGGTGAGTGCCCTCGGCGGCGCCGCAGGAGACCATTCCCGCAGGAGAAGGCCGGGCGTGTCGCGGCATCAGAACACTGGACGACAGGCCCACGGACCCGTTTCCTGACGTTTGTGAGCCTCCTGGTGACAGCACAGGTGGTGGTGGTCTGAGAGGTCCTCCAATGACCTGGAAACCAAATCTTCCCCACCAGGTTGTGACCCCCAGAAACACCGGCCCCCCTCACGGTTGCGCAGATGCCTAGACCTCTTTTGCAGCTGGTTCACTGTCCACCGTGCTCCCCACCGTAATCCAGCTCCCGACGGAGCCTCAACATTCCAGGAGCTGTGTTCAAACCCCCCCACACACATGGGAAATGGCGCAGTCGTTGCAAACGAGCCATCAAAAACCAGTCCTGTATACACAGATGTTTGTGTGTATAGAACACACGCATGCATGTCTGTCCACACGTGTCCTTAATTTGGACTGACCTCATGAGACAGGGTCCTGTTTCCCTCGAGGGTCCCTCTTTTATTTTTATTTTTTAAAAATCATTTTATTGGGGGCTCATACAACTCTTATCACAATCCACACAGACATCAATTGTGTAAAGCACATTTGTTTTGTTTTTTTAATTCTTAAAAAAAATCAATTTATTGGGGCTCATACAGTTCATCACAATACATAGATCAATTGTGTAAAGCACATCTATACATTTGTTGCCCTCATCATTCCCAAAATTCGCTTGCCTCTTGGGTT